TATTTCCTTCTTGCTAGGGAACGCCAGGCAGCACCCAGCCCTTTACTCCTCTCCGGCTGCGACCTCTCCGCGTGCGCGTGTGGGTGGGCGTGCAACATGTCTCCGTACCTTAGGCTTTTTTTCAGCTCCTCTGATTTTCCTTCTGGTTTTCTCTCTCCTTCTTGTTGTAGAATTTTCAGTCAGTCGACTACCTGTAGCTCTGGGCAATGTCCACTCTACATTTTAGTTGTATTCCATTGAAATTGTTGTGTGCTGCCGCGGTTAGATGTCTACCCGAGCAGCCATCTTGGATCTCTTGAGAATGGCAGTTTTGCGTCTTATTTCATACATTTCAATCAAAGGTCAGAGGCAAGTGGGTCCCTTGAAATCCATGGGTGATAGATTAGGGAGGTGGGAGAAAGCAAATGGGGGGACACATCTTTGACCTATGTGGGCACAGGATAATTAAGTCAAAGGAAAGGGGAGTTTCCCTGACATTCCATAGGAACATCATAGCAGATGCAAGGGACATTAGACAGGGTCAGTTAAGGGCAAGACTGACTTTTGCTAGGGAAGATTCTAGCCTAGGACATTACTGGGTGCCAAAAACTGCTGTTAGTTTTTTTTTTTTTTTTAAGTTTTAATTTCATACCATCCTTTGTGGTCACTTTAGGTCCCTGAGTTTGCAAGGCCACCACCCAGGCCTCCCCTGAGCTTATTATGTTTAGTGAGTGACCCCTTTGGATCCACACTTTTTTATTTTATTTTTTATCATTTTTTATTAAGGTATTATATGTGTACATATTTTACCATTGCCCCCTCCCATTCCCATACATGCCCTCACCCCCCAGAGTTTTGTGCATCTATTGGTTATGCTTATATGCATGCATACAAGTCCTTCGGTTGATCTCTTATCTCCCCCACCTCTCCCTAAACTTCCTGCTATAATTTGACAGTCTGTTTGTTGCTTTACTGTCTCTGTATCTATCTTTCTGTTCATCAGTTTATAATGTTCTTTATTATCCATAAATGAGTGAGATCATGTGGTGTTTTTATTTCATTGACTGGCTTATTTCACTCAGCATGATGTTCTCCAATTCCATCCAGGTTGCTGCAAATGGTAAGAATTCCTTCTTTTTTATGGCAGCATCGTATTCCATTGTGTAGATGTACCATGGTTTTCTGGTAGGTCCACACTTTACCATAACATTTTGTAAACACACTTTTTCAGATGAACAAAGTTCCTTTAATTTTTGGTTTATTAAGTTCTTAACATAAAAGAGGCTGAATTTTAGGTAAAGTTTTTATTGAAAGTATCTTTTGAAAAATTTACATGGTTTTTCTTTTTTAAACCTTTAATGCAGTGAATTGCAGTGACTTTTATATTGTTAAACTGTTTCTGAAATAACCCCACATTTCTTGCATGCTATAGTTTTTATTAATTGCTGATTGTGTTACTGTTCATAAAGGATGCTCATACATGCTAATATTAAGCCTGTTATTTTCTTTTCTGAGTTTTGAAAGATTAAAGTGGATGGTGCACTAAATAGCCATTTCAGATGGCGATTAAAGAAATTTGAATTTATTTACAAAAAAAAGGGGGGGATGGGAGATGAGGATATACACTGAGCAAAAGATATTGTACCTGATCATGGCAGCAAAAATGTACTTAGGACTGTGAAACAAGGAAGGGCATAGAAGAAGTAACAAAGAAACCTAGGCTGGGCTGCTTTGACTTACTGAGAAGTCAGAAAAGGGTCCTTGGAGACAAGTTCAGGGGGTTAGCTGGGGACAAGCTGCTGCTGCCCATTGCTCACCTGGTTGCAAATCTCACGGGGACCTTTAGGGGATGGGGAATATGTGCTTGTGGAAGAATGGGAAGGGCATGGTCCTTGGAGGGAGTGCACATTTTGTGCAGGTGGAAATCTTAGGGGAGGTCTCAGGGGAGGGTCTTTTTAGAATAGTCATCCCAAGTGTGCTCTTTCAGTGTTGTGGTCTCCACTGATTGGTTGATGCCAGGGCAGGAAGCTATTAGTCAATGTAATAGGTCCGGAGGCAGCCGTGTCACTTGTCTGGTTTTTCTGCTTTTCTGGGCCTGGAGCTGAAATACAACTGATGCCTAGATGCTATCTTTAGGGAGGAAAACGTCAGGGGGTCTAAACTGCCTTAAAAGCAATATGAAAGATGGGGGGGGGGGAGTGGAGGGGCAGAAGGGTGAGCATAGGTTCTTGTTTTCTCAGTTTTGCCCCTTGATAGTCATGTGGAGCTTTATGTCATGTTGAGTCTTTGTACTTGGCTCATTGTCTCTGTTCTGCTCATGTCTAGCAAGTTTCTTCTGATTTGGTGGTAAACATTCTTTTTTTCTTTTTTTTTAAATATATTTTATTGATTTTTGTACAGAGAGAAAGGGAGAGAAATAGCTAGTCAGAAACATCGATGAGAGAGAGTCATTGATCAGCTGCCTCTTGCACACCCCCTACTGGGGATATGCCTGCAACCAAGGTACATGCCCTTGACCGGAATCGAACCCGGGACCCTTCAGTCCCCAAGCCGAAGCTCTATCCACTGAGCCAAACCGGACTCAGCTGGTGGTAAACATTCTACTAGCCACACAATGACAGCTGGGGAAGTGTTCTCTCTCTTGTTTTCTGTAAGAGCACATGTAGGATTTGAAGTAATTGATCCTTGCCTGGCTGGCATGGCTCAGTGGTTGAGTATCAACCCATGAACTGGGACATCATGGTTTGATTCCTGGACAGGGTATGTTACCCAGGTTGCACTTGATCCCCAGTGTGGGGTGTGCAGGAGGCAGCCAGTCAATGATTCTTTTTCATCATTGATGTATCTATCTCTCTCCCTCTCTCTTCCTGTCTGGGAAAAAAAAAAGTTTGAATGTTTGGAAAACATTCAAAAAGTTTGAGTGTTTGGAAAACATTCAAAAAGTTGAATGTTTGGAAAACTTCCTGTCAAATAATCCAGGTTATATGTATCCTTTATTGGAAGGATTAAAAACACAAACTCAGTTGGTCTATTGGTTACTTGTACTTTTTTCCTTTTTGACTCAGCTCTGGTTTCATTTTCTTTCTAAGCATTTATCCCTTTTAATCTAATTTTTCAAATATTTGCAATAAGGATGTTCCTGATGTCCTCCTATTGCCTGCTGTCATTGTTTCCCTTTATACTCCTAATATTGCTTATTGTTTCTACTCTCATTTTTTTAAAACAATTCATCCAGAAGTTTGCTTTTTAAAGAATTATCTCTCGACTTTGTTGGTTCTAGTACAAATTTAATGAGCCAAATTTCAATGCAAAGAAAGGCTGGAAAAGAAATAAAACATAAAAAAGAAAAAAGAAAGGCTGGGTGTCCTACAGACTCCCTTTCACCTATTGACACGAAAAGGGAAGGGCTGTGACCAGGAGTCTGGAGCTGCCTCATGACAGAGTGAGGGAGGAAGAGGCTTCCAAGGTGTGCTCATCCAGGGTTGTGGTCCCATCCTCTCCTTTTCCCTGAGGACAAAGGGGTCTCTTAGTGATGGAGATGAGACTTGGAATCAGTCAGCAGTGTGGTGAGCAGGGCCAGTTGCGTTACTTCTTTTTTATTTCCGAATAAACTGTTTCTGTGGCTGTTGGGGATGGGGAGGTTGACTTTGGTCTCTTTGATTCTTGGCCACTGAAGTTCAGCAAAGTGTATGTAACTTCATGGATCTGAAAGGGATGAGAAGTGGTCGGTTAAATCAGTGTCCCAGGTCAGGCCCTCACCTTGCTTCCTGTGATTAGGCAGTACCTGCTTTCACCACTTTGAAACCTCTAGCTTTGGAGGATTTTTATTTTCTATTTTCTCTGCTTGCTGTCATCCTTTGAATGACCATTAGAAGATAAATTATGCTGCTGAAACCGTTTTGGTTCAATAGATGGAGCGTTGGCCTGCGGACTGAAGGGTCCCAGGTTCAATTCAGGTCAGGGGCATGTACTTTGGTTGCAGGCACATCCCCGGTGGGGGGTGTGCAGAAGGCAGCTAATCAGTGTTTCTTTCTCATCTATGTTTCTACCTCTCCACCTATCTCCCTTCCTCTCTCCAAAAAATCAATAAAATATATTTTTAAAAAAAGAAGATAAATTATGCTATTCATAAAATGGAAGAGGATACTGCAATGAGAATGAACAAGTACAAATGCATACTACAATATGGATAAGTTTCATGAAACCATTTTGAATGAAAGAAACAACACACATAAAAGGGTATACTGTGTTATTTAATGTAAGAGCATAAACAGGTAAAAATAATCTAGCGCATTGGAGGTCAGGATGTGGTTACTCTTTGTAGGGAAGTGACTGGAAGGTTTCATTTTGCAGAAAGATGACATGTTTTGTTTCTTCATTTCAATGCTGCTTATAAGGGTATGCTTAACTTGTGATAATTTATACATTGTTAACATATACATATGCTTTAAGCATTTTTCAACACATATGTGTGCTCCACTGAAAGGCTAAATGAGAAGCTCGGTAAAGTTATTATAAATGTAGGAACTAAGACTTCAGACCCATTGGAATGGACACTATCCCTTGACAAGAAGAAAAGAATCAGATTGAAGGCAGAGGAGGGAGAATGACCCAGTGCCTTCCTTATGTTGGGCATAGTGCTGGTGCTTTGCATGTGTTATCTCATTTCATTCCTTCAGCTACTCTCTGAAGTATGCAGCATTTCATGTGTACAGATGACAGGGTGAGGATCAGAGAAATTAAGTTACCTGCCTAAGGTCACAGAGGAACTAAGAGTTACTGCCAGAATGCAAACACAGGATGGGACGAACTCCAGAGCCCACATTGTTGCATGAAGTATACCCATGGGAATAGTTAACCAATACTTCTTCGTTTGTTGCTACATTGAGGAACCTTGAATCAAACTTGATCACACTTCTGTCCTCAAGAGTATTCCATTCTCTATAGAGGTATGTCCATGAGAAAATGAGCCAGTGAAACTGGCTGGGCTTACCTTGTCAAGTGAGTTGTCAGAGAGGCCCTCACCTGGGAGTTGAAAGAAGAGTTAGCAATTCATGAAAATGCTAAGCTGACGTATAGCTTTCCAGGCTAAGTATTCCTAAGCTATGGTGATTTCTCACTGAAGGAGAAAGGTGGTTGGAGGCGGGTGTGATGTGGCCCATGATAACTTAAGGAAATCGCTTCTCTCAGAGTCTGTGGTCAGACCGAGGGTGTTAGTACCAGCAGGAGGGGTTGGGGTTGAGGGGTGAGGGGGGCAGCAATAGTGACAGGGAGGCCTCAGTCCATTTCTGAATTTTTTCCCCCAGTTCACAAGGCATTGCTTTTGCCCAGTTGTGTTTCTCAGCAACAGGCATGAGTGGCAAGGAGGGGCAGCACCCAGAGGACCCAGAACACCACAAGACAGGGAAAGTCTCACCAAAGGAGAGTGCCCACATCCCTAATAGAGGAGAAGGGGAAGGGGTAAGGTGAGGAATGGCTTTGGAAAACATGGCCATCTTACTCAGGCCTGCCAGGTCTGGCTGAGTGAGTCTCTCCCAGGGCTGGTCTCAGGGGGATCTTTTGTGACTAGAAGGGTGGGAGAATCTATGGCAACCTTAGGTTGGGAAATGGAGATTCCCTCTAAAAGTTCAGAAGGCACTGAGTCCTTGGGACCAGGTTTCCCTGCTAGGGCAGGGTGCATGGTGGAACACACCAGCTGTAACTGGTGATGGCTTTACTTACTGTGGTTGGAGGCTGAGGGTTTGTGCTCTGTGAGATCATGCTGGTTGCTTGCCCTAAACAAATATCAGAGACTGTGACTGCAATTCCCAAACATAGGCTCTTTGCTCCTTGAAGTAGGAAGGACACTGTCAGCTCATTTATACCAGAGTCAGCATTGCCATTCCTCCTAGGGCTCCTCTTCAGTGTACCCACAGTCCCTTCCAGAGTGCACTCCTTTCCTGCTGCACTAACGTTCATATAGGTCCATCCCTTTTTAAAAAAATCTTCATCTTATATTTTTTAATGTCAGAAAGAGGAAGGGTGAGGGAGAGGAGAGAGAGAGAAAAAGAGAGAGAGAGAGAGAGAGAGAGAGAGAGAGAGAGAGAGAGAGAGAGAGGGAGAAATACTCCATCAGGTGTTAGAACCTCAACGTAGGTTTGTATCCTGACTGAGAATGTAGCCTGCAACCTTTCTATGGGACCATGTTCCTATCAACCCAGCCACCTGACCAGGGCACAAAGGTCTATTTATCAATTGCTTCTGAGCCTATTTCTACATGGACACCTTTTGACTTTGTTGATTCTGTTATCATTCTTCATTTATTACCCAAAAGGCCTTTTGTTTCAGCTTTAAAATATATATAAATTTGGAGATTTTAGAGAGAGGAAAGAAGAAGGAGAGATAAAAGCATTAATAATGAGAGAATAATCCTGTAGCTGCCTCCTGCAAGTGCTGTTCTGGCAACAGAGCCCGCAAGGCTTGCATGTGTTCTGACTGGAATTGACCTGTGACCTCCTGGTTCATGGGTCAATATTCAAGCACTGAACCACACAGGCCAGACTGGTTTCACATATTTTTAAGGTTCTCTTCCTGTTCTGCCCCTTTGTTTTCCTCTTTCTATCTTTGATGGAGGAAAAACTCGCTTTCTCCTGCTCCTCTTCGTTTACTGACTTTTTTCCTTCTTGGACCTTGGATTTCCTGACTCTAGGACCAAGGAACATAATCACATCTGCCCCACCTAAACGAGAGGAGGATAGGAACACCATTTCCCAAAGAGAGAGGGGTAGAGGAAGCTTGAAGACCAGGGAACAAAAGGCCTCAGGAATCAGTGCTGAGAAGCAGGGGTTTAGGAAACAGGAGGAGCAGAACCAGGCCCAGAGACAGAGAGGAAGTCTCCTTCCCTCTCCCAAACATGGATGTCAGCCTTGGAGGAAGTGGGACAAAAGGGAAGGCCATCATACCCTCTAGTCTTTCTGATATACAGGAAGCACACCAGTGCTGCTATCAGAGCTATACCAGCCAGGATGCCAATCACGACGCCAGCAATAGCTCCATCTGAGAAGCCAGGACTTGATAGTGTTGGATCATCTGTCATGGATAGAAAAGAGAGGAATGAGTGGAGGGGACGTTATTCTACAGTGGAGGTGCCCTGGGAAACAGCTCTCAACATGAAGTAGTCTCTACTTGTCCCTGCAAGGAAGAAGTTTCCCCTGGGAGGGTTTCTGTGAGGTAAATAGCTCACTATAGTCTTGTAATTATTTTCTCTCATTGCATTTCTAGGTTGGTGCCCAGACTTGCCAAAATCCCATCCTGGTCTTTCTGCCCAGATATAAGTTTGGAGCTTTGGCATTGTTAGAAAGCTGATGGCCATTTTTGTAAGTTATAACTTCCCACCTTTCATGGTTGCGTACCAGGTGTGACCACCATGAATATGTGCCAGTCACCTCTCCTTGGTGGAGACTTAAGTGATGGAAGGTGGTGAATATACCACCTGCTTTGCGCAGACATCATGCATCATGCAGACATCACAAGGATTTGTATTAAGCCCAATGCTGTGAGCAATGTTTTTCACCATGTGGGTAACCTTAGCTCAAGGCCACCCCATCAGCCTTGCAGATACTCTCTTGGAAGGCACTGTAGCCCTGTCGGGTGTTGCTCAGTGGATGGAGCAATGCTCCCTGCACCAAAAGGGCATTGATTCGATACCCAGCCAGGACACATGCTAGTGTTCCTGATTGGATTCCAGTGGGGGGTGTCCAAGAGGCAGCTGATAGATAATTCTCTCTCTTGCTCTCCCTTCCTCTCTCTAAAATTAAACACACACACACACACACACACACACACACACACACACACACACACCAATAACAGCAACAACAACATTAAAAAAAGATGGCATAAATAGCTGCAATGATCCTGTTAAAGAAGGACAAGTAGGTGGGATCTCAATACCAGATATCAAGCTGTATTACAAAATTACTATTCTCAAAACTTCCTGGTACTGGCACAAGAACATACATATAGATCAATGAAATAGAATTGGGAACCCAGAAATTGACCCAAATCACTATGCTCAATTAATATTGGACAGAGGACTCAAGACATTCACTTCAATAAATGGTGTTGGGAAAATTGGACAGATTCGTGCCCCCCAAAATGAAACTAGAACACCAACTTACACCATACACAAAAATAAACTAAAAATGGATAAAGGTCTTAAATGTAAGATGGGAAACCATCAAAATCTTGGAAGAATCCACAGACAGCAAAATCGCAGACATATACTAAAACAATATCTTTAACCAATACTGCTCCTAGGGCAATGCAAACTAAAGAGAAAATAAACAAATGGGACTTCATGAAAATAAAAAGCTTCTTCACAGCAAAAGAAACAAAACAACAAGAAAGCCCACTGCATGGGAGAACACATTTGGCAATGTTATCTTCAAGAAGGGTTTAATCTCCAACATTTACAGGGAACTCAAACAATATAACAAAAGAAACATAAAGAACCCAATCAAAAAATGGGAAACAGACCTAAATAGATACTTTTCAAAAGAGGACATAGGAAGGCTAAGAAACATATGAAAACATGGGCAAAGTTACTAATCATCTGAGAGATGCAAATTAAAACAACATCTATAAGAATGGCTATCATCAACAAATCAATAAAGGACAAGTGCTGGCGAGGATGCAAGGATGTGGAGAAAAAGGAATCCTCGTGCACTGCTGGTGGGAATGCAAACTGATGCAGCCACTGTAGAGACCAGTATGGAGTTTCCTCAAAAAACTAAAAATGGACTTTCCATTTGACCCAGTGATCCCATTTCTAGGAATATATCCCAGGGAACTAGAAACACCAATCATAAAGGACATATCACTCCTATGCACCCCTATGTTCATAGCAGCATAATTTACAAGAGCTATGCTTTGGAAACAGCCTAAGTGCCCATCAGCAGTTGAGTGGATTAAAACTGTGCTACATGTACAGAATGGAATACTATGATGCTATAAAAAGGAAGGAACTTTTACCATTTGCAGCAGCATGGATGGTCCTGGAGAGCATTGTGCTAAGTGAAATAAGTCAGTCAGAGAAAGATAATTGTCACATGAACTCACTCATTTGTGGAATATAACGAACAACATAAACTAATGAACAAAAGCAGATCCAGAAACAGAGAAGCACTGATGCTCAAAACTTCAGAGGGAAGGCAGGAGACGGTGAGGGTAAGGGGGAGAGATCAACCAAAGGACTTGTATGCATTCATATAAGCCTAACTAATGGACAGGGGAATGAGGACATGAGGGGGGGGGCGGGGAGGAAGGAATAGGAGAATAAGGACTCATATATAATACCTTCATCAATAAAGAAAGAAAGAAAAATGATGGCTCTGGAGCTGTTTCCAACATGCTTTAAAATGTGAGCTGCTGAGGAACTAAAGGTATTATCCACTCTGCTTCCCTTCACTACTTCCAGGGTTGAATTAAAAGAAATTTTAAAACAGGTCTCTTCCTAAGGCTTATCCCCCTCCTCCCCCACTTGCAAATAAACCTAAAGCTGCCTTGTGTAGGAGAATTGTTTTCTATTCATGTCAGAGCAAAAAGTTCTGCCAACTCCCAGACCATGAAAAAAGTTTCCATTTACGGAGGGTGGTGGCAAACCAGAATGAACACTGACATCAGTTGTGGAAATGTTGCTGTTCAGGCAGTCTGTGAGCCCCCAGCTCCCTTTTCTAACCTGAAACAGGCATGTGCTCTCCAACCATCCTGAGAGGGGCATGTGTAATTCCTTCAGAAATAGATGATTCCAACCCAAATAGTTACCACTGACACCTTTGTTTTGTCCACAGCATTCCCTCCAGGAAAGCAGGGATGCCCGAGGGGACCTAGCAGATAGATGGTGCATTGGGAAGAGATAGGTTGTCATCTCACAGGCCCATGGTTCATGGAGAAAGATCACATTTTAGGAAGCCGATTGGAGCTTCCAAAAGCCCAGGGGGCAGAGTTAAAGGGCAGCCTCCTACTTTCCTCTTGTGAAAGTAATGGGTTGGTCATTACAAATATTCATGGGCAATTGGGAGGGCTCTTTAGGTTAGAGGGCTCTTTAGATCCATAGTCACCAAATCCTACGAGTTTGTGTTCCTGTGACTTTTGCATGAGATCCACAGAGATTCTAGGAAGAAAACACTCACTACCCTAGGCCTATTGTTTGTCTACAGATATTGTCTAGAGTTACTTAAGACCTTAAAAACAGTATGTCCAAATGTTGTATTTCAAAGACCATCTATAATACAACAGAATTCTTTGGGATGTTTTCTAAAAATGCAAACTTCTGGGTCCCACTCCAGACATTCTGAGTCACATTTTTTATGGGCAGAGCCTAGGAATCTGAAACTTTAACAAGCACCCTAAAGATTTCCTGTGCAAACTAAAGCTTGCAAATAATTGTCTAAAAGGGCAGAATGTCAGGAGTTTTCTGTTTCAGTTTGCCAAGTGAATCTTAAACAGTAATGTTCTATCCTTTAAATGTTCTCTAAGTATTCTTATCTAATAATGTTTCATAGTTTCAAAACTTCTCATTCAGATGGCTTGCTGTCTTTCAAGGTTAATTCACAAAGATGGATAAATACAAACAAACAAACATACAAACAAACAAAAAACGGCAAAAGATGGCACCACAACATAAATCTTTCTTTTTTTTCCCTCCTACACAATAAAGATTCTTGCCAGAGGAATCTTCCAGACTCCTCCCACTTTCTTTCCTTCACAGGGATATTTTTTTTTTCCAAATAAGCATTTGTATGTCTAATTCCATCGTGGCTGCCTCTCAGGGGACGAAAACTAACAAACCAGGCTTGAGACTTTGCACTCCACTCCTCTTTTCTTTCCCTATATTTAGTCAGTAAACATGTCCCAATGAGTTTTTTGTGTGTAATGTCTCCCTGACCCCAAATTTAAAACTTTGCATCTGTGTCTTCCCCCCCTTCCCCCCCATTTCTGTTGCCCTCACTAGTGAACTCAAGATTAAGGATTAATAGGAAAATTAGTTGCTGTTATGGGGTACTTATACTATGTGCCAGGCTCTGTGCTAAATACTTTAGCTGTATCTCATCTAATTCACATAATAACTCAGTTAGATAGACATTATTTTCTTTTTACTGATGAAAAAAATTGAAGCTTGGAGTGGTAAGTAATTTATCTAAAGTCATATAATTAATAAAGGGTGGATCCTTGACTCTAGGACCACCTGACTTCATAGAGGCTGGTGATAATCTTAATATATAAAGAGGTAATATGCAAATTAGGCCCATTCATAGGGTGGGCGTGGCTGCAGGGGGGGAAGGCACTTCAGGTCTAAGCGCCATTTGCTCCCACCCAGGCAGACTCCCTAGTGACCCACAGCTGAACCCCAATACCGACCTGGGGTTTACTACTTTACTGGAGCTGCTCACCCCCACCCCCTGCCCTAGGACCAGGCTGCCCGCAGCAGGGAGTCCTGCCAGCCCAGGAGAGCTGATTGGAACTGGGGCTGCCTGGAGCCACTGGGGGGCGGGGCTGCCAGAGACAAGTTGGGGTGGGGGTGTGTGTGTGTCTGAGGAGAGCACCTGAAGGAAAAGGAAGCTTCAGCAAAATGGCTGGCCAGGAGCAACAGCTGGGGGTCTGCAGGTGCACTGACAGGCCCCCTGCCTGGGGGGCAGTAATTCGAAGTGGCCAGCCAGGAGGCAGGCAGCCCAAGGGGTACAGGGCAGTGCTGAGCAGGTGCATCAGGCCAAGGAAGGGGTCCGGAGGGCGGGAATCTGCCTCGTCTGAGGAGAGCGAGGGTCTGCAGTGGCCCCAAGACTAGGGAAAGGAGAGGCAATGACTGCAGGTGTCCTTGGAAGGATGTCAGGGCGGAGTGGTTCGGACCCGCAGCCCTGAGTGCAAGGGCACCGCACTGCCAGGTACCACATTGCCAGGTACCCCACTGCCTGGTACCCCAGTGAAGCTCCAGGCGCTAATTGGGCCTGCACTTGAGAGGCCACCACTCCAGCTCCCTCCTTGCCCCAAAAGCAAGCCCATGCCCGCCCCGCCCCCATTTCCTGCCCTCC